GATTTTATATGATTGTTCTGCTCAGCAGAGAGACACTTCTTATGTTTTCTAGTTGGAAAACATTGATGTGAATAAATAAAACCATAATTCATTCTGACTTTCTGTCCTTTTAAAATTTTGTATAGAAGTTTTAATATCAATATATATTGAATATTGATACTGTGATCTAAAATATCAAGATATTGTTTTTTTTTGCTATTTCGCCCCAGCCTTAGTGGCATATGAGAAGACCGCCAAAGACGCATATATACTGGTGAACCTGGTTACACTGAAATAAGTCACACAAAGTTTTATTAAAAGAACAAAGGAGTTTTAATAAAATATTTTTAGGGAGGTGAGGAGGGTGTGTAGGGAGGCTAGAGATAGCAGAGGCTGGGGGTGTGGGGAGGAGTAGGGATTAGATGGGGGGAGGGGTTCCATTAGACCTATGGCAGGGATTATGCTTGTTCCCACAACATCTAGTTTGTTATTGTTTTACAGATGATGGTTCGTTTTGTGCATTGGAGGAATAATATCTAGCAATTACTTTTTAGTCTGGTGTGTATTTCAAGCCAAGTTTACTTTATTTAGCTGCGTTCAGGACCACAGCCTTGGTGACGGACCCAACACTGATATGGCAGCTCCATCAGCTGCTGGATTTGAACTGCAACCTTCTTATCACAGGCACAGAGCCACACCCCACCATTCAGTAGGAAAATTTTCCATATGCTTCAGATCTTCATCCTGATGACCCAGTTAGAGCAGAGCTGAAAGCTTCATGCCTGATGCTACAGGAAAGATATATTGTCTCTATCGTGGTTCTGGTAAATGAACAGCTTCAATGCATGTTCATCGTTCCCTTTCTGCTCACAGACGTCCCCCTGCAGGGCTGTGGTCAGCTGCAGCATGGACCAGAAACCTCCCCAGCTAAGTGTGGCAGATGTGAAGGAGGAAGCGCAGGACGTCCTCATATCGGATGTGGACGGGGCCGGGCACAGCAGCCCTGACAAGGTGAAATGGAGTGACATGAGATGAGAATTAAACAGTCTCTGTGTGTCCTGCATCCAGCAGTGTAACTGCATCCAGCAGTGTAACTATGACAGTGAGTCTGTATCTAAACACCTTCACAGGCCTGCTGTCATGTCACTTGTGCTTTTATCCTGTAGTACCTTCAGCAGTGAGCTGCTTAGATGGATTAGGAGTGGAGAGAGAGCAGCAGCTTGAGGGCAGCTTGTGTTCAGTATCAGTCAGGAAAAATGTGTCCTGTATGATACATGGTAAAGACATTGGTAGATCTGGCCCTGCTTCTTTGTGTGATGCTGAAACATGTTGCTTTCAGTCCCATAGACCAGTTGAACTCTTTACAGAAGAATTTTTGACTGTATTCTCCTTTCCTCAGAAAGCAGAGAGTACAGCGTGTCCCGTCTTTAATGGGGAGGTGAAAGAAGAAACAGTGTTTCAGGACGTGACTGAGGAGAAGCTGACTGGGAGTGTCAGACCTCCAATCCCAGGTGACTATAGAAACATCTTCGAGCTTCCAGAAAATTCCACATGCAGCATCACACAGATATCTAGTGCTGTCTACAGTTTGTATTACTGAATTCTTGTTCTAGACTGCAATAGACTTTTCTCCTAAATCCATCACTTTTGTTCCTATTACCAAACTTATGTTTGCTCTTCTCTATGCCTCTTTGTTCAGTCCAAGTTCTCGTATCAGGGAGGAGAATGAACAAGTTCCCTTGTCCTTACTGTCCTATACTGCCTTATACGTCAGAGACTTACGTCCAGAGACACATCAAGAAATCCCACCCTGAGAAGTTTGACCCCAGTGTGATACTAAATATTCTCTGCTGCTCCCATTGTGGGAAGAGGTTCAGTCATTTAGGACACCTAAAGAAGCACCAGCTGATTCACATTGGGGAGGGGCCCTACCAGTGCTCCCAGTGTGGGAAGAGCTTCAGTCATGTAGGGCCTCTAAAGGAACACGAGCGGACTCACACTGGAGTGAAGCCATACCAGTGCTCCCAATGTGAGAAGTGTTTCAGTTATTTACGATACCTAAAGATCCACCAGCGGAATCACACAGGGGAGAGGCCCTACCAGTGTTCTGAGTGTGGGAAGAGCTTCAGTTATGTCGCAAACCTAAAGAATCACCAGCGGATTCACACAGGGGAGAGGCCCTACCACTGCTCCCAGTGTGGGAAGAGCTTTGGTCAATTAGGAGCCCTAAAGAAGCACCAGCCAATTCATACAGGGGAAAGACCCTACCAGTGCTTGCAGTGTGGGAAGACCTTTGGTCAGTTAGGAAACCTAAAGTACCACCAGCGGATTCACACGGGGGAGAAGCCATACCAGTGCTCCCAGTGTGGAAAGAGCTTCAGTCATGTAGGAAGCCTAAAGAATCACCAGCGGATTCACACAGGGGAGAGGCCCTACCAATGCTCCCAGTGTGGGAAGAGCTTCACTCAAGCAGGAGTCCTAAAGAAGCACCAGCGGATTCACACAGGGGAGAGGCCCTACCAGTGCTCCCAGTGTGGGAACAGCTTCAGTCATTTAAGAGCCCTAAAGGTGCATGAGCACACACACACTGGGGTGAAGCCATACCACTGCTCCCAGTGTGAGAAGACCTTCAGTGCTTTAGAGAAACTAAAGAAGCATGAGCGGATTCACACGGGGGAGAGACCTTACCAGTGCTCCCAGTGTGGGAAGAGCTTCAGTCATTTAGGAAACTTAAAGGACCACCAGCGGATTCACACAGGGGAGAGGCCCTACCAGTGCTCCCAGTGTGGGAAGAGCTTCAGTCATTTAACAAACTTAAAGAAACACCAGCGGATTCACACAGGAGAGCGGCCCTTCCAGTGCTCTCAGTGTGGGAACAGTTTCAGTGCTTTAGGAAAACTAACAGAACACCAGCGGATTCACACTGGGGAGAGGCCCTACCAGTGTTCCTATTGTAAGAAGAATTTCAGTCAAGTAGGAACCCTCAAAATTCACCTGCGGATTCACACAGGGGAGAGGCCTTACCAGTGCTCCCAGTGTGGAAAGAAGTTCACTCAAGTAGGGACCCTAACAAAACACCTGCGGATTCACACGGGGAGAGGCCTTACCAGTGCTCCCAGTGTGGAAAGAAGTTCACTCAAGTAGGGACCCTAAGAAAACACCTGCGGATTCACACGGGGAGAGGCCTTACCAGTGCTCCCAATGTTGGATAAGCTTCAGTTACTGAGGAGAACTAAAGTGACATGCACTGACTCAGGGGAAGCAGTGATAGTGTGATTAATGAACATTTTGCTGTATAATTGTGTGTAGGCTGTAGTCACAGACGATGGCCTGTATATCCTGAGCTTGACTGATGTTTCTTGTGGAACTGATACTGTCCAACCACTGTGAGGGATTGCTGGAAGTCGGTAGCTGATAGCAGGGTTACTCAGCTGGGTTTGACCTTCAGCAACCACACTATTCCTTGGTCAGAAAAATCACAAACTTGATTGACAATAAAAGTTGTTCACCTGGAGACAGGGTGGAGTGCTTTTTGAGTTCTTTGGGTACATGTACATACAGTGTTGATACCGCTGCCGTGGTCCATGCTGCTCCTAATGGCCAAAGTCGAGGTGCTGACTGGGAAGGAACTCGACAACAAACATGGAGCCTTAAATACAGCCCCCCTACAGTCCTGCAGGAAGACCTCATCCCTGGGTAGGAAGCACAGATGGGCCTCACAGAGATCTTCCCTTTTATCTTTTAAAGGCAGACTGTCCAGGTTCCTCATGTCCTTTATTGGCTGGTGCACTTTACTGTTTATGTTCACATGTACAGTTTGTTTCTAGTTTTGGTTAAGATGTAGTTTAAGTTTGAGTTCTCACAGACAATCCAAAGGAAAAGGACGCGTGTTTATTTTGTAGGGGTAGTAATTGGATGGGTGATTACAAATCGGTCACTTCCTGCACAGCAGCACGCCCGAATCATAAATAAGGACAAACAGATTAATGAATATTAAAATGTTCACCCATTTGCAAGCATTTCGATTTTGTTTCAGATATTTTTTATTCTAATGCTTATGGGATAGTTTTTTGAAGAAAAGTTTTTGGGCTCTTTCACTGGCCAGCTTATGAAGACGTCTGGGAATCTGTGTAACTGCTCAGAAATGATTCAAAGTTTTTGTCATGTATGCGGTTGCACTTTTGTGCAAAATCATTGTACAATATTGCTGTTAAGTGCAAATGGAGTATAAGTGGCGTAGTTTTCAGAATTTAAAACCAGAAGGATGACGATGATTAAGCAGCATTGAGAGTTCATATGACCTGAGGGAAGTGACTTCTGCTTAGCCTCTCAGTCCTGGCCTTATGGCAAAGGAGGCGTTTGCCTTAATGCAGCCTCTGGAAATGTCTATGGCTAAGGTGTGATGTGACTGCAATTACCTGTTTTCTCCTGCATCTGTTTTGCCCTTGTGCAGCAGGGGTGGGACTCCATGACACATCATACACACACAACCACACAGCTGGGCACCTTAGGGATGCAAACTTGGATCTTTAAATTGCAGGTGAAATCCTGCGCAACATGGGGGAGACCATGCATCAGTGTGAGATAATTGGTCATTTCATTCTCTTCATGTATTTTGACAAATCCAGATTTCAGAAATCACAACATTTTGGTTTATTGCTTTTCAGAGCATTTATTTATTGCATATTTAACTTAAACAAAGTACAAACTTTTGTTCATTATATCATCTGGCTCAGTTCTTTGCACAATATTCACAAGTATTTTTAGGTTTAAATTTGAAAAAAACGTGACCAGTTTCAACAAGCGTAAAGAGGCCCAGTTAGTAATGGTAAAATATTTGGAGTTATACAGTTGGGGGTTCATTTTTATTAATACTTGATATAAAAAATTAAAATTACTTTTTGACCTGTGCAATTCAATGGCATCGGCCAGAAAACATTCGGTAGAAATAGGCGTGGCCAAGTATCGGAGCAGGGGGCGTAGCGTCAAGGCGTGAACGTATTACGCATTGCGTCATTATGGTCGTTACGTTTTAGCGTGAAGTTCTGCTCGGCAGTGGAATAGCAGGAAGGAATATGAGGGACGCAAGGTGAATGTTACGGATGGGCGATACCACTGATTTTCTTTTTGATTCGATGCAAGGTAATGTCGAGGTTGGTATCCCGATGGCAATATTCCGTGTCGGTTTAAACTTTTTTGGGGCCCTAAGTAAAATTAGGATAGCGGGAGGATTAAGTTTCGGGTGGGGGCGAATAAAATCTGAACCGGGCACTGAAGAGCTCTCACACGTATTCCCCACTTAGTACGCCACTGCATAGTATTTATCACATTTGAACTTTACTACATATCTATTGGTTATTCTACACATATTTGTACATATTATTAACATTTTGTACACCGTTCAGTCAGAGAACTGCTGATTCAGTCTCGTAGTGCTGACATGTACAGTAATAACAATAAAGAATTGAATTGAATAGAATTTTTCCGAGTGGGTTAGGGGAGGAGAGGGGATGCCGTTGCCCCCCTAAAAGTATACCTGTCCTCCACCCCCCCCCTTATGGGCGCCCCTGCCTGGTTAGAGTGTATATTCTGGGGGGTGTTCCTAAAAGCGACTTAGGGTTTAAACTTTCACTTGAATCTTTAATATATTGTGAATTGTTCTTTGATTAATTGGTTTAATCTGGCTGCAGATGACATATGTATGTGACAAAATATGAAAAGCCATTGTGTTAGTCATTGATGAAAAAAAAATACTTTTTTTTGTTTTTTGCATTTCTTTTAAAATGCCATGTCCTGAATTATTCACACCCCATGAAATTGCGCTCATTTTTGAGAAAATGCAAGCTTCTGTACTCTTCCAAATGCTCCTGGTAATTACTACCATGTTCTAGAGCAGGGGTCTCCAACTCCGGTCCCGGAGAGCTACTATCCAGTAGGTTTTCTGTCCCACTTGGCTTCTGATGAGCCACACCTGCTCCTGGTATTTACCTGAGAACAGGTGTGGCTCATCAGAAGCTGGGTAGGATAGAAAACCTACTGGATAGTAGCTGTCCAGGACCGGAGTTGGAGACCCCCGTTCTAGAGCATTATAATCAACTCTAAAATGAGCATAGCTGAGGCATGAGTTCTCTAGTCGATTACTAGAGGACATCCGGTTGTGCCTTGTGGCATCTTACAAAATGAGGAAAGACCATAAAGCTACATCCAAGTGTTCTCAAGTGGCAGTGGCTACAGTACAAAGCATGATCAAAAAGTAAAAGGAGCCCCACACTGTGATAGGAAGCAGAAAGTAACCCCTGTGTTGTCAAGAAGAATCCAAGGATCACCACCAAGGCCATCCTGATTAATCTGAGTAATTATGGTACCAACATCCTAAGGCAAACACTCCACTGGACTAGGGGTGAAACAGTTACTGGTTTCATGATAAACTGTGGTTATCAACTTTTCTGATGGTTAGTACAGCATTACAATTTCAAATTTTAATTACCGTTAACATTGTGATTGATTATCATGCTTTGAAGAACTTACTGTAATGTGTGGTGGACTGTCGCAACGCAGCAATAGTGAGAAATTAGAAGATGTGTTTTTAAGGGGAAACAACAGCCTTTTATTAAGCCCTTAAAAGGACTAATACAAGCATGAAACAACCACCAAACACATAGTTGGGAAACAGGGAAGTCTGACACCGGACTATAACACGCACACATGGTGGGTAGTTTACACAACGACTAGACCCACACAAGCTCTGGACAGGGTTCACACAAGACATAGGCAAGGGCACCTACTGTATGACAATCGGGAACACAATGTGTATTAACAATTACACAATTGTCATGCAGAGCCAACTCACCAGTGCTACATTATGTTAAGAACTCTACAGCATTAACCAAAGTTAGCAACAGTCTCCCAGACACAGGTGTGCAGGTGAAGCATGTAACATGGGTTTGTTTTGTGACGAATCATGGTGGTAGGAGGTGACAACGCTCAGGAAAGTTTTCAGCTGTGTAGAGGACTAGGTCAGAGGTGTGCTCCATTTTGGCTTTTTTAAGACTGCAGAAGGAAAACTCATTGAAGATGGCCACTTTATCGGCTGAACATGCAGAAAAGAAAATATCTGCACAGGGAGGCAACACGTCTAATCTTATAAGTCATCTTCATATCTTCATGACCGCCACTCTGCTTTTTAGGGAATGCAACGTAAGTTCACTTTTAGCTCAATGCATGATGTTGGGACTTTGGAATGGGGGGAAAATGTTATAGTTTGTCTGTCTAACTTGGTAATAGCTTGTCAAAAATGAAAATTGAGTCTTTCAGTCTTATCTACTCTTGTAAAAACATTGCTGTCAGTGGTGTAATGGAGCTGATAATTTTGCCTGTGTGCTATTAAGAATGAATTCTGTTTACGTTTCTATTTGCATATTCTTGAAATGGAACACTTTAAACAAATTTATTTCCTTTATCTGTATAAAGTATTAGGGCCACATTGAGGGGAAAAAAAAGATTTTGAGAATAAACGTAATTTTGGGCTATGTGTTATTTTAGAGGGGAGTGACCTTTTTCAGGACAGAAGAATACTGGTGGGAACAAACCACAGTTAATGATACTGGAATACACTGTTTTATTCAGCTTTTTTTTAAAAAGAAAAAAAACTTTTGTTATTGTTTTATTTTATTAGCTAATAAAATGGAGGACTGCTGGTGTGGGGCCCAGCTGCCTTCTGCACTCACAGGTTGCTCGTCTTGCTTGTTAGTATCCAGGCAAATCAGGAAATGGAACTGGAGTTGGGATTGGAAAAAAAAAACTACGGGGAACACAATTGGAGTTGAATTTGAATTTAAGTTCCAACTCCAGTTCCATTTCCTGATTTGGACTGGAATTGATCAATGCATTCCGGAATGGCCCCAACCCTGCTGTGGAGGGAACTGAAGACCAGAGTGAAAGCAAGGAAACCTTCCAACTTCAAAGATTGGAGATATTTGCAAAATCTAAGTTTGAGACAAGCTTGTTAGGAATTATAAGACCTGTTTGTTTGTTATGAGGGTAAATAAAGGCTTTGCCATTGATTTATTGAGAAAGGGTATGAGTAATTTTGAACGTGGCATTTTTTGTAAAAACAATGTTTTTTCAATGTTTATTTTACATACTTTTTTTGCATTTATGTATCCAGCACAATGTCTTACTATCCTTTGTCCAGCCGGAAGACACAGATTAGTCAAGTAAAAATGGAAATTAGGCTCTTCCAGTTCAGGTGGAAGTTGCATGTTTTTGGAGAGTGAATAGAAAACAAAAGATCTGACGTAAATGTATGTGTACAATGTACATGGGGAGAACATGCGAACTCCACACAAGCGGTGGTGTGTGATGATGGTGCTAAACCTCTGTGCCTGTGACTTGAAGATTGCTGGTTCAAGCCCTTGCCTCAGCAGAAGAGTTATATACGTGTCTATATGCCCATGAGGAAGGCCCTTAATCTTCAGCTCCAGGGGTGCTGTGTGCTGGCTGACCCTGTGCTGTGACCCCCCCCCCAGCTCCAGGGGTGCTGTGTGCTGGCTGACCCTGTGCTGTGACCCCCCCCCCAGCTCCAGGGGTGCTGTGCGCTGGCTGACCCTGTGCTGTGACCCAAAGCTTGCTCTCACCTGTATATGTGTCTTGGTGTCTCATGGATAGCAAGACAGGCAAAGAGAAGTATTCAAATATAATTGTGTAAATTGCAAATAAATGATTATTTCTAGAACAGAAATTGATCAGGTTTACACTACTAATTCAGGATTGTACACTAAACCCGCTTTCCGGAATGCCCTATGGCTCCCTGTAATAATATTAATATTTAAATTACCAGATAATAAAATCAGTGCTTTAATGTTAGAATTGATTCTCAAAATGAGACAGTCACATGAAAAGAATCAATATCTCAGTATCATTCCGCACGCCCTTTGCAAGTATAATGCAGCAGTAGTGCCTGCAGAAAAATTTGAGTGGTATGACCATCAGGGGCCAGTTAAATTTGAGGAGTTGGCCATGATGGGTCTGTTTCTGAAGGCTAACAGCTGAAAGAGAAAAAGGGGAGAATTTAACATTATGTCAGTAATCCGCTACTCAGCATGCTGCCAGAGGGCAGGGGATCCGTGTCAGCAGATCGATCGGTCAGATTTACTGATGTGGGGTGGCATCATGGATGATCCCTTAGATCTACCTCCTATAGGGCAGCTTCATCGGCAGCCAGTTTGAACATTAGATTAAAGCTTCCATTGTTACTATGGATTTGTTATTGTCGGATTCCCCGAATGGGAATGCATAAGGTTTTGGGGCCCATCAGCCACCCATGGACTCTTATCCCTTTAGTAACTCAGAAAGTATGTGACAGGTCTTTTTCTAGCGTCACAGAGATGTTGTATGGTTGAAGATCTGGAACCGATCATATATTGAGGCAAATCAGATCATAACTGAACCAGTGTCATTTTGTAGTGGCACGTAAGAAGAGGCATCTATACTGGTGAACCTGATCACATTGACATGTACGATTTTTTAGGGGGGCAGGGAGGGTGTGTGGGAGGGCTTGAGATAGTAGAAGTTTGCAGTTTGGCAGTGGAGTAGTAGAAGTTTGCAGTGTGGCAGTGGAGTTTTGACGTGTGTACGTCAAACCAAGTTTTCATTTTTTAGCTGCATCCAGGACGACAGACAGAGGAGATGAAAAGCATTTACTAACAGCAACGTGAACGTGACCTGTGGGCTTCTCACCAAAGCCAGGGAACGACTGGCTGCACTTGATCCCCAAGCTGGTAAGTTCCGCTTTAGTTTTGTTGTTTCAGGTCAGGCCATGGACATGTCGAGTAGAGGCAGCTCCAGCCTCCAGGACTGCATCCTCTTCAGAAGTCCATCCAGCCATGATGATGAGACTTTATTTGCCATTTGCACAAGTATAAAGGAATTCTGCAGTTTTCACATGTCCAGTCTTTCTGATATGCTATTGTTAGCCATTTATCTAGCACCCCTGGGGCAGTTTTTGGCATTAGTGGCCTTGCTGAAGAGCCCAACAGTGATATGAATTGAACTAACAACCTTCTGCTCCCAGGCACAGAGTCCAATCTCACAGAGCCACAAACTACTACATTAAGCGCAGGACAAGTTTCCAGGTGCTTCAGATCTTCAACCTGCTAACCCAGTTAGAGCAGAACTGAGAGCTCAATGTCTGATGCTGCCAGACACATCCATCTTCTGTGTCAGGATTCTGCTAAATAAACAGCTTCAATGCATGTTCTTCATCCCTTTCTGTTCATGGACGTCCCCCTGCAGGGCTGTGGCCAGCTGCATCATGGACCAGAAACCTCCCCAGCTAAGTGTGGCAGATGTGAAGGAGGAAGCACAGGACGTCCTCATATCGGATGTGGACGGGGCCGGGCACAGCAGCCCTGACAAGGTGAAATGGAGTGACATGAGATGAGAATTAAACAGTCTCTGTGTGTCCTGCATCCAGCAGTGTAACT